CTACTATTTCTTCTCAAAAATGCAAAAAGAAACTCCTGATCTTTGTTCCAGCTCTAGAATAAAATGATCTGCAAGAGGAAAGTGCACATAAAAATGCAGTTTCAAAAATGAAAAGAGGCAGATAAAAAAAGAAGTGATGCTGGTTGCTTGGCAACAGAAAAAAGCAAGGTCATCAGCAGAATGGATCAGATGAGATCTTTTACACTTTAGAAATATTAGAGAAAGTCAAAGCAGCCAAAGTGAAGCTGGAATTATTAAAGGTATTTCTGCTGAAAACAAGTCGCAGAAACAAAATTCATGCAGGTTTGCCTCTAGGCCTTCTGTTCAACCAAGCCCTTGTTATAGGGATGAGTACCTTTGACATTTGAATCGATCCGGTACTAATTCCCGGTACCTACGAATCGATACCGGTACTTAACGGTACCAATTTTCGATACTTTTGAGTGTTTAATATTTTTAATTCTCTTTTATAATTAAATATATATTTTTCTCAATATATAACCATATTTGATAAATATCACGATAAATAACATACAACTGTTTGCATTTTAACATCGTCCTTGTAGTTTAATAAGCTGATAATTAAACTGAAGCAAACATCTTTACTGTGAACTAAATTTACTGTGTATCTTCATTCCTTTTGTCGTCCTTTTTCAATTGATTTTTCCTACTGGGAAGTTAGAATTTCCGAGGAGAAAGCGAACGCACCATTAGCTGATAACAATGGTGGTATAGGAAGCTAACATATCAAGCTAACGTTATCATAAACCGTTTATTTAACTGCTGGAGCAGATTAAAACGATGATGCCTCACACTTAAATCGTTGTCGCTGGTTTCATCTTCACCCGTCACATTTAGTAAAGTGAAGCCAAACTTTAGAGCGCGTTCATTTTCTTCTAGTCGGAATTTCGGAGTTCTGAGGAAAAAGCGAACGCACCATTAGTGAAACGGAAGCTAACAAATCAAGCTAACGTTATCTTAAACATTTTATTTACCTACCGGAGCAGATTAAGATGAGGATGTCTCACTTAGATCGTTGTCGCTGGTTTCATCATCACCCAGTTAGCCATCACATTTAGTGAAGTGGACCCAAGCTTTAGCGTGCGTTCTTTCTACCATGCTGCTCTGTTTACAACTGGCTCGCAGCGAGCGACGACATAACGCTCTTGCGCATGCGCAGCTGTCTAGGCAAGTTCTCGTTGTGAAGGACGGGTACCGAAACGAGGCACCGTTTAAAACGAAGTGAATCGGTGCTTGGTTGGTACTGTGGAATTCAGTCGGTACCTTAAAAAGTACTGAATTCGGTACCCATCCCTAGTTATAAATGAACAATACTTCTCAAAGATGTGATGCCTGTGGGAGAATTTCAGAAGCTAGCTCATTAAAAACAGACTTGAAAATTCCAAATCAGTCTTCAGCTCTGTTTAATCGAATTCAGATTTACCTAAAGTACTTGTGTATCTGCACTGATACTCATAACTAAAGTATAATTTGTTTATTTTAGCACTTTATTTTGATAGTATTTAGGTTCAAAGTTGCAATTTAAGTCCAAACTGTTGATAAATGGCTACAATAAGTTTAAATTCAAATGTTTACCCAAAACCTTATTTGCTTAAATACTGACTTACATTCGTGTACTTGTGTAGTGAGGTGTTGTATAACTCACCTGGTAAAAGTAAGGGTTGGGTTCAGACTCTCCCACCCCGTTGAAGTCCTCCACATTAACTAGCTGAAAGTCGAACGTCAGACCCGGGTTGGGGACCTGGAACTCAGGAAGTTGCTGGACATGAGGCAGGTTACCGAGGTGTTTGTAGCGCCAGTTGTAAAGGTTACAAAGGCTGTAGGTAAGGGGAGACCATTAAGCCAAGGTAAAAGAGGTTAAGTTAAACCTGTCATGTCCTTCCGGGGAGACCCACCTTGCACGTGCGCGGCCCTGTGCGTCCAAGTCTATGGTGGGCACGCCTAGACGCACAAATCGAGTGAACAGAGACTGCTCCATGTTGGAGTATTTCTGGAAGGCCATGTTCTTGATGACAGGAGGCAGCTGGTGATGGTCTCCGATCATGATCCAACGCTTTAGCCGGCTGAAGCCATCCTCCGGATTCTAAAAATGATGAAAAAAATGCAAACAACGAAAAACATTTTGCTAAACAGGTACACACAATATACAGTCAGTGCTAATTAAACAAGCAGTTTGAAATGTTAACAACAAAACCGGTGTTTGCCAAAAAGTTCAAACTTGTGATCTAAAAGCTTTACCTGAAGCAGGAGAGGGATGAAAGTCTCAATCTCAAGAATCTGTGCCGCTTCTTCCATCAGGATGTTGTCATACTAATAAAAAACAAGCAATCTGGTTTACAGATTTGAGCTGGAATGAATAGATGCACCATTGTCAAGGGTTTGTGGCTAAGACAAGTCCACCTTAAATCCTAGCTCCACCAGGTCATGACGTTTGAGAGCAGCGTGGGTGCAGGTCATGGCGATGATTTTGGCCTCCTTCACCAGCAGATACTTGGATCGGTCCAGTCCGCTCCTCAGCAGCTCAAAGGCTCTAAACTCCTTGGGGTGGGGGGGAGGATGGGGGAGGAAGAAAGGGTGAGGATCTGAGCAATCATAGTCATTTTTTAATTTGTTTTGGTCACTGTTGCTCATGGGGAAATTTTAATGGCAATGTGTCAAAGTGATGAACGATCGCTACGACCCAATGACGGATAACGTAACACAAATACCAGACTTCAATAATCAGAGAGACAGCAATTACATCACGGAGCCTTTAAGTGGCTCATCATTAATCTAAGTACTCTGATATTTCAAACTGACACTAATAGTTACCCCTAAATCGCCTCAGAGGAAAAACAAAGACCTTCAGCAATGTTTGGATACACAAAGGACCAACAGCTCACTCTGCCAATTGCTCGCCTAAAATCATGATTTTTATTCCAAACAAGCAGAATACCCAAAAATAAACAAACACGCATTCAGTCAGGAACTGATATATAAGCCTCTGTGCCCTCTGACATGACGGGACTACCACAATCAGTCAAACTAAATATTTAAGAGTGAGTAAGTGAAAATAACATGCAATCTGCCTGCTGCATGATGCACGACAAATGCATCCCCTTTAATCATTACTTGTTTCCGATATGGTATGAAAACAAGCGTAAAGTCAGCAGACATCTGATTTTAAAATTAAACATTAACTAAACTGTGCTTTACTGAGTCACAAGTGAGTTTGTAGCTTTACAATACTTCTTCAAACTTCATCCTTCAGCATGTTAATCACATGGTTTGACTAAGATTTCTGAGGGGGATAATTAGCTGCCACACTAGCTGCACAGACAGAGATTAAGAGAGGATGGGTGAACTAGACTCGGACAGCACTCGGGTTTAAATATTTAATGTGTTACTATTTTAGCATTAATATTAAATCAATCAAAACATGCAATATTGATTAGATCCATTTTAAACCCCCGTGGCCTCAGAATGTACTGAAAAGGAAAAAACTCACCAACACTGACACGAGAAGCAAAAAAATAAATAAAATAAAAAGAAAAACAACAAACTGAAGATGAAACAAAAGATTTTTTACTGGATCTGCAGAAGAGGCTACATTTATACACGCAGGTCTTAAATGTACTCGGTGCCTCCATCTGACTGGCTGGCAATATATTCTTAGACTATTCCTATGACAGCTTATTCAAAACTGCTTTTCCATTTGAAAGGTAGACAGATCAGCAAGCGCAGCAGGAAGTTGCTTTTGCTACCTTGCACCACGTACAGCAACATCCCTTAAATGGGTGAGCAGACCACTGCAGCATGGGTGAGGCTGAGGGAGGAGGGAGGAGGTGCTGTGATGCAGCGATACAGAGGCCAGCCAGATAAATCAAGGTCGCCACACATGTCGAGATATTACCTCTAGCCAATAACTTTCTTTATTGCTTTTTGGGGACCTTCTCAGTGTTCACATGAATCAAAAATGTTTTTATTATCCTTACAGGCATAGCTGATGGACTGAGGAGGAATCACACATATTCAGGTGCGTGCATGTAAGTGTGAATTGGTGTGAAAATGAATGTGGAGAAAGGAGAGGAAAAAGCAGAGGAGCCTGAGCCTTGATATTTTAATGTGATGCTAATTTTTTTCTAAACAGGTGATGAAACACTACTGTTTTTTATTTTACTGTAAAAGGGACATATATTACCTTTTTTACAAGTTACAATAGGTCTATGGTCGACAAAAAAACATATTTATAAAGTTATTTTACTAAATCCCTCTCACATAAAGCCTTTTCAGCCGTTTTATTCTTTACATTTTAAGAACCTAACATAATGAGTCGGTTCAGGGCTCTGTCACTTTAAGAAAACAAGCCAGAGCTGGCCACGGCCATCCATCACCCCACCAGCCTGCTATAAGCTGAGAAGCTCCGATATCCGGGAGGAGGGGCTCTGAGCAGAGCCACTGCTCCACCAACAGGAGCTGCTCTACTCTAGGTGAGAGGTGGTTCTTTGCTAATTTCCCCGTTAGCGATGTCACAAATGGGAACTTTGTGAAACTGCTTATGTTTAGGCATAGAATTGCTCAAACCTAACCCTGACAGTGGCAGCAGACCCACATGGCAGCACCAAAGCATGCAAAAGGTGAGTTTTGCATATTATGTCCCTTTTAATTAAATATTAGCGGATGTAAAAAAATTTCACATAACAATTAGAAAATTCTACATTGTCTTAACAGACACAAAGAATCCACTATTTTTGTAAAAGTGTGGTGGCCAGGAAACTTGAGAGAAAGTGCAAACATCTGGACACACAGCTGACTTGTACTTAAGAGAGAAGAATCCACAGCAGCAGGCAAAAAAACATCTTCCATACCTGAGCTAAATGAATTAGGTTTGTCCCAGTTTCCACTACCTTACACTCAAGTAGCCTGATTGCATCCCACCGAGTGTTGCTCAGCAATGACTAATGGTTTTAGTCTGCCTGGTGACTTGCTCACCTCCAGTTGTGTAAATATTTTCTTAATGTGGCGATAGCAGCCCTCTGCAATGTCCATGTCCTCCTCATAGGCTCGGCCCTTGAACACAGGCTGGGGTGCGTTTGAGAAGTACTTGTGGAAGGGGAAATGTGCAGCGACAGCCTCCACCTCCACCGTCTTGCCCTGTTTAGGCTTGACTTTGCTTATGTACTCCTCCCAGCGAGACATCACCTGTAGGGGGAAATGAAAACTTTCATTAATGACTTTTTGAAGGAGATTAATCTTTATGCCATCCTTCAAATAGTAACAAACTTTTGGAGAGTGTACATTTGCCTAATCTTGTGTTTTATTCAATAACTATTTAGTGCAACAGAAAAAACACAACTAAACAAATGAGAGTAATAATAATAATGCACTGAACTTATATAGCACTTTTCTAGACACCCAAAGACGCTTTCACACTCTCTCACATTCACACACTGCTAGTGATGGTAAGCTACTTGTAGCCACAGCCGCCCTGGGGAGGTCTGACAGAGGCGAGGCTGCCATTTGGCGCCGTCGGCCCCTTTGACCACAACTAACACAGGCAAGTTGGGTGAAGTGTCTTGCCCAAGGACACAACAGCAGGATACCCCTGGCGGGAGCTGGAATCAAACCCATGACCCTCCGATCATGAGGCAACCTGCTCTACTTCCTGAGCTACTGCTGCCCCAAAGTAGCTCAGTAGCTAATTCAACAAAGCGACGGGGCACCCTGCTTCTTTAAATATCCTTTGTTTTAATCATCTTAATACAATTACTGAGATGTATGAAGATTTAGCATTACTGCGCTAAAGGATTAGAATCAGAATTCTGATTCTGAATCTGATTCTAAAGGATTTGCTTCAATTTACTATTGAGATTTCAACAAACAAAAGAGAAAAAAACAAAACAAAAAAAAAAACCCAACAAAATAGTCCAGGTTTGTCCATGCTAACGTCTTAAAATTAGGGATGTGAATCTTAAAGCAATTCACTATTTGATTCGATTCCGATTCTTGGGGTGCCGATTCGATTCAGAATCTTCGTCGTTCTTCGTCTTCCTCCGCTTATCCGGGTCCGGGTCGCGGGGGCAGCATCCCAATTAGGGAGCTCCAGGCCGTCCTCTCCCCGGCCTTGTCCACCAGCTCCTCCGGCAGGACCCCAAGGCGTTCCCGGACCAGATTGGAGATGTAACCTCTCCAACGTGTCCTGGGTCGACCCGGGGGCCTTCTGCCGGCAGGACATGCCCGAAACACCTCCCCGGGGAGGCGTCCAGGAGGCATCCTGACCAGATGCCCAAACCACCTCAACTGGCTCCTTTCGATCCGGAGGAGCAGCGGTTCTACTCCGAGTCCCTCCCGAATGTCCGAGCTCTTCACCCTATCTCTAAGGCTGAGCCCGGCCACCCTACGGAGGAAACTCATTTCGGCCGCTTGTATCCGCAATCTCGTTCTTTCGGTCATTACCCAAAGCTCATGACCATAGGTGAGGATTGGGACGTAGATCGACCGGTACATCGAGAGCCTGGCTTTCTGGCTCAGCTCCCTCTTCCCCACGACAGATCGGCTCAGCGTCCGCATCACTGCAGACGCCGAACCAATCCGCCTGTCGATCTCCCGATCCCTCCTACCCTCACTCGTGAACAAGACCCCGAGATACTTAAACTCCTCCACTTGAGGTAGGACCTCTCCCCCGACCCGGAGGTGGCAAGCCACCCTTTTCCGGTCGAGAACCATGGTCTCAGATTTGGAGGTGCTGATCCTCATCCCAGCCGCTTCACATTCGGCCGCGAACCTACCCAGCAAGAGCTGAAGGTCAGAGCTGGATGAAGCTAGGAGGACCACATCATCCGCACAAAGCAGAGACGAGATTCTCCTGCCACCAAACTCGACACACTCCACACCACGGCTGCGTCTAGAAATTCTGTCCATAAAAGTGATGAACAGAACCGGTGACAAAGGGCAGCCCTGGCGGAGTCCAACCCTCACTGGGAACAGGTCCGACTTACTACCGGCTATGCGGACCAAACTCACGCTCCTCTGGTAAAGGGACTGAATGGCCCTTAACAGAAAGCCACCCACCCCATACTCCTGGAGCGTCCCCCACAGGGTGCCCCTGGGGACACGGTCATAAGCCTTCTCCAAATCCACAAAGCACATGTGGATTGGTTGGGCAAACTCCCATGCCCCCTCCATCACCCTTGCAAGGGTATAGAGCTGGTCCACAGTTCCACGGCCAGGACGAAAACCACATTGCTCCTCCTCTATCTGAGATTCAACTATCGATCGGACCCTCCTCTCCAGTACCTTGGCGTAGACCTTTCCAGGGAGGCTGAGGAGTGTGATCCCCCTATAGTTGGAACACACCCTCAGGTCACCCTTCTTAAAGATGGGGACCACCACCCCGGTCTGCCACTCCCTAGGAACTGCCCCCGATGACCACGCAATGTTGTAGAGACGTGTCAACCATGACAGCCCTACAACATCCATAGCCTTGAGATACCCAGGACGAACCTCATCCGCCCCCGGGGCTCCGCCGCTGTGTAGTTGTTTGACTACCTCAGCAACTTCTGCCCCCGAGATCGGACAGTCCATCCCCAGGCCTCCCAGCTCTGGTTCCTCCTCGGAATGCGCATTGGTGGGATTGAGGAGCTCCTCAAAGTATTCCTTCCACCGCCCGACTATAGCCTCAGTTGACGTCAGCAGCTCCCCATCCCCACTGTAAACAGTGTGAGCGAGTTGCTGCCTTCCTCTCCTGAGGCGCCGGACAGTTTGCCAGAACCTCTTTGGAGCCGATCGATAGTTTTTCTCCATGGCCTCACCAAACTCCTCCCACGCCCGAGATTTTGCCTCGGCAACTGCCACTGCTGCACCCCGCTTGGCTATCCGGTACCTGTCTGCTGCCTCCGGAGACCCACAGACCAGCCACGCCCTGTAGGCCTCCTTCTTCAGCCTGACGGCTCCCCGAACCTCTGGTGTCCACCAGCGGGTACGGGGGTTGCCACCACGACTGGCACCGGCCACCTTACGACCACAGCTAGCAACAGCCGCCTCGACAATCGCAGAGTGGAACAAGGCCCACTCGGACTCAATGTCCCCCACTGCTCTCGGGACGTGGTCAAAGCTCTGCCGGAGGTGGGAGTTGAAGACCGTCTTGACAGGTTCTTCTGCCAGGCGTTCCCAGCAGACCCTCACTATGCGTTTGGGTCTGCCAGGTCTACGCGGCATGTTCCCTTGCCATCTGATCCAACTCACCACCAGGTGGTGATCAGTTGACAGCTCCGCCCCTCTCTTCACTCGGGTGTCCAAAACATACGACCGCAGGTCAGATGATACGACTACAAAATCTATCATCGACCTGTGACCTAGGCTGCCCTGGTACCAAGTGTACCGGTGGGCATCCTTATGTTCGAACATGGTGTTCGTTATGGCCAAACTGCGGCTTGCACAGAAGTCCAATAACAAAACACCGCTCGAGTTCAGATTAGGTGGGCCGTTCCTCCCAATCACACCCCTCCAGGTCAAGCTGTCATTGCCCACGTGAGCATTGAAGTCCCCCAGCAGGACAATGGAGTCCCCTGATGGAGCACTATCTAGCACTCGTCCCAGGGACTCCAAAAAGGGTGGGTACTCTGAACTGATATTTGGCCCATAAGCACAAACAACAGTCAGGACCCGTTCCACGACCCGAAGGCGCAAGGAAGCTACCCTCTTGTCCCCCGGGGTAAACCCCAACACACAGGCAGAGAGTCTCGGGGCTAACAAAAAGCCAACCCCAGCCCTCCGCCTCTCACCCGGAGCAACTCCAGCAAAGTAGAGTGTCCAACCCCTCTCCAGGTCTCGGGTTCCAGAGCCAATGCAATGTGTCGAGGTGAGTCCGACTATATCTAGCCGGTACCGCTCAACCTCTGCCACAAGCTCCGGCTCCTTCCCCGCCAGCGAGGTGACGTTCCATGTCCCAAAAACTAGTTTTCTTGTCCGGGGATTGGACCGCCAAGGCTCCCGCCTTGGTCTGCCACCCGATTCGCATTGCACCGGACCCTTCATGTTCCTCCTGCGGGTGGTGGGTCCACAGTTGGACGAGCCCATGTATCCGGTTCGGGCTGGGCCCGGCCGGGCCCCATGGGCGAAAGCCCGGCCACCAGGCGCTCGCTCACGGGCCCCAACCCCAGGCCTGGCTCCAGGGTGGGACCCCGGTAACCCTCCGGGCCGGGTACTCCGACTTTTCGTTTTAACCGCCATGAAAGATCCTTCGAACCGTTCTTTGTCTCACCCTTCACCTAAGACCAATTTGTCATGGGAGACCCTACCAGGGGCACTAAGTGCCCCAGACAACATAGCTCCTAGGATCATTAGGGCACTCAAACTCCTCCACCACGATAAGGTGACGGTTCAAGGAGGATTCAGAATCGATTCTCGATTCTCATTTTAAATCGATTCACAATCAGGATTAACAAAGAGTGTCAGCTCCAGGATGAACTACTTTGTTGTACAAGTTAGTTAAAGCTATGGGACATTTTTATCTGACTTTAAACTGGTCATGCTCCAAAATGCAAATTTACAATGTAAAATAAAGTGATTCTAAAACTGTAAACAGAAACAATCTTTTGACCAAAAGGCAACATTTATTTATGCTTACCTTGTAAAATATAACACATCTGTAGTTACCTAACAGTAGCTTTGAAAGTAATACGGTGAAATACTTTTCAAGTATTTGTAGAAACAAGTTACATGAGTAATCCTGAGTACTCATTTATCAACTTAGAAAATAAATATGAGAATATCTCAAATCTCTGAGTATGGAAACAATTACATTCAAGTGCCCTCTTATCAGCAGATTCAAACATAAATCATCTCAATTTAGGGGACCACAAAAGTAAACGGAGTACCGACTCTCCTAACAAAGATCAAAAAAGTGCATCTCAAACCTGTAACATGCCAAATATTTCAGTTCTTGGAATCGATTCTGAATCTTTATAAATAAGAATCCCGATTCAGACTTGAATCGATTTTTTCAGTACCTCTACTTAAAATGTCACATTTATTCTGCTGCAAAAAATGTAAAACACAGTATTTTATTTCTCTTTGAAGCACTAAATTAATATGGAACCACATCGCTTTATAAGACAAAAAATCACTGAATAATAGGAGAGGGAATCTTTAGGCTCTGCACTATTTGGTTATGATTCAAGGGCTGCAATCTGAGATTTGAGCTAAACAACAAACATCACTTGTTTCTGAAACACTGCGCCAAATCTTTATGTTCATCAAACACACTCCACATAGGTCCCAGAGATGACTCGTTATTTCTGTACCTGATAGAGGTAGAAGTGTCCTGCAGTCTCACAGGTGTAGGAAACATCTCCAGGAACATCCAAGCTCTCCTGGAGCCGCCCCACCTCTTTGAGAAGCTCAAGTCTTCTAGCTAGGACATAGTTGACCCTCCCATATCTGTAAGGCAGCACATGGTGCACGAAAAAAAAAAATAAATAAATAACATCAATTGTGGCTCTTTTTTCTAATATACAGATTTAAATATACTAGCTCATGAACTTGTCTGTGTGAACATTTTTTAATTGCAGTTTAAGACACCTTAAATACGCTGCTAACACGACAGAGGTGAATGGATGATTATTTGTTTCTGTTCTTGCCTCTTTTCTTGTGCAGCTAAACAATCCTGACATGCAACGAGACACCAAAGGCACACACAGGAGGCAGGCAGGGTCACTGGGTGATATTAGAGGTGAGAACTATTTTTAGACCCTCTTCAAAGACCCTCACTCAGCAGATGACTCAAACGGGATCACACTGGTCTGGATACTTGACCAGGCTAAAAACAAAGATGGAAATACTTCACATATGTTCATTTTATTACTATGCAAAACAACCAAAGGAGTATGTTAAAGTATAGAAAACGGTTTATCCCCCTGCACCAAAATCACTTTACATTTTCTGACAAGCTTTGTTTAAAAAATAGAATTAAAAAATAAAAAAAACTCAGCCATAACGTGCTGAACAAAATCTAATTTTAAAATCTCATTAAAACAGAAAAGGTTTACCCCAAAATACCATTTTGCAGCAAGGCTGTAGCTCCCCCTTTGTCATGCACTCAGTGCAGCTCTGCGATCCATTTTTTATCTTGTATAAAGTGTTAATTAAAACTCCTCTCCTCTAGCTGCCGTCAGTGGGGTGGAAGAAGTGTGGAGTCTGCATGTTGTTTTGAGGCAACAAAGCAGGGAGAACAGTGAATGCTGCACACTATAGCTCTTTCTTTCATGTCTGTTGCTGCATAATTTAAGCAAGCTGCTTTCATGTGAAAATCCAATTTTCATGCTGCCCTCTTCATACAACATTAGGCAGCAATCACACAAAGTGAACAGCCTAGACACATACAGACACCCCCGCTCTCAGAGTGTGAGGAAACTTTAAATAGCAGCCGCATAGTACGGTAATAGTCAGTGGCATATGTAGTTATTTATAGTCGTAACCGGTGTACAAACTCTGTTCATTCATAGAGAGGGGTAAATTTAGCTGAAGTCATGTAGAGATGTAAATATTTTGGGTACCCTGAGATAGTATGTAAAGAGTGCTTGAGTGGTTTTGATGCACATCTTTCCTTTTTCTAGTGAAAACTGAGTCGCTGTATCCTTTCAGGCATCACGCACGCACGCACGCACGCACTCTCTTAACAAAGACGATGAGAGAACTACTGGGGCTTCTTCAGCAGGACTCTCGAGATTGTGGTCTGTAGTTTGCCCAGCAACAAGTTCTACTACTACGAAAAAAAAATAAATAGCCTCACCCTAAAAGTGAAACCAACATTTTATGGAAACACAAAGCCAATTACCTGCCCTTCACCTGAACTTACCAACAGTAATTACGAGTGTATTTATTCATTCAAGGGTCTATGCATGTACTCATTTAATTATCCCATCACTGAAGCCCAGTGTGACCATGAGGTAAGAACAGTATGTTCTCACTTCACATGTAGCAGATGACCTCAATCTTTTTGCTTCACTTTTATGCACAGCATTGGTTGCTATTGTGCTACAATTATGAAATGAAGTGTGAACACTAGAATTTCAGGCAAATTCCCTACCTTTATTTCCACAGGGGTATTTGCCATCCCTAAACTGCACTGAGTGAGTGGTTCCTGCAGTCTGGTGCAGTAGTGACAGAGTTAAACAGAGTGTGAATAAAAGCTGCAGGGACAGATGCTTATCAGTGCTGCAAAGATCGGGGAAATTTGCGACGCCTAATAAAGTCTAACTAGGTCCGTGACGTAGCACGTGAGAGTATTGGGTGGCCCTGTGACTGTGTGGTTTAAGAGAGCAGACAGCTGGTTTCGAGAGAGAGCGAGCGAGAGTGTGTGTCAGTCATACATGAAGGCTGTCTGAGTTTTCACGTGCTTTTCTGTTAGTTCAGGCGAGCCGATCCTTGTCTGTGTCCTCTCCACCAGCTGTCCTCACCTGCTGAAGTCTTTCTCGGTCTCCAGCTCCTCCTCTCCGTGACCCAGACGCAGAAGGTGACGCTCGTCTATGTCTAGAGCCATGATCTTCTCAAACAGCTGGTTCAGAGCCTGGTGTGGATAAAAAAAAAAGAGTTTAAAAACATGTAGACATATATTACAAGGCACTGAAAATGACTTCTTTATGTTTTCAAATCATATTTGAAACAACTTAAAGGTGTAATTAGTTCCAAAACTTTCAGTATGCAGGAGGGAACTCTAACGCTATGCTTCTTGTGGATAAGGTTTCCTCTGGGGAGCATCAACGGGTGTAAAACAAGAACAGATTACTTTATGATTTAACATTAAGAGGGAGGCCTGTGGCACAAAGGAGCTTAGATTTTTCCTTCATGGTATAAATGTGACTGCAGCCTGATTAATGGGCACTTCGAAGCTCAAGCTGTAAATTCTCTGGACAACTTCACTTCTTTCTTTTTCAGCTGTGTTAGCAAAATCCCCTTTGTTGGTCCCGTTTTTGAACAGCGGTGTGTGTGAGTGTGTGTGTTGACCTGATTGGAGTGTGTGACTATGAGAGTTCTCTGCTCGGGGAAGTTGTGATAGAGGTTTGAGATGATCTGAACAGCCACGTCCGTCTTTCCGGTGCCTGGTGGTCCGACAACCTGGAGGCACGACGGGAGGAAGTCGTTACAAAGAAAGAAGGAAAAACCATATCAGGTGAACACAGAAAAGACATTAAGCATAACTGGATATTAGGTTGCAAAAGCACTCCTATAGATGATGAAGCGACGGTGACAGAGTGACCTTGAACGTGGTTTCACAAGCGAGCGCAGCTATTCGCTCCTGGATTTGATGTCTGAAAGATGTTTATTTTTGACTTGGCATATATTTAAAAACCAAGAGCCACCAGAAAGAAAAAGAAAAAACTGTAAAAGTGAGTTAAAAGTTAATAATCTGAAGTCTTTCTTAATGAAAAAGTAGAACCAAATGAGATGGTTATATTAAATTTACAAAATAAATATTCATGAACCAGGTTGGTCTGAGTGTGGGTCTCTCAGGTGAGTAATTTCTGCTAAAAAAATAGCCAGCGTCATTTTATATTCTTGCATAAATCAGCACATAATAAGCTCCCTGGTTTCCCTACATGAAAGCCGGGTAAACCAGGAGGTAGAGTGTGCTTGTTGCTGCTGCTAATGAATGTGACATATGCCAAGGAGGAAGGTTAGAAGGGGCGAGGAGAGGGGCAGATGAAAGCATGCATGCAGAGCTGCTTTATGACCCTGCTGATAGCTTCTTTGCCACATTTAACTCAGCTACAGTAAAAACACAATGAATAACTCATATCCTGCTGCTAGCGTCCATTCACCACGTCTGTTACACTACTCAAGATCTAAGCAGCAGGGATGCATGCAGCAGATGCTTTTTGCATGACCAAATGTACTTTTTAAAATGCTTTATAAATCGAATTTAATTCAGTCTTAATCTACAACAGAAACCTCACCATGGTTAGCCCCGGTTGCATCCCGGCTCGAATGGCTTCAATCTGAGTGGGCGTGAACTGAATTGTATTCCTGCAAGAGTTTAATGATGGGTTAACAAATCTGGTTACATTCATGAGACAATGAGCTTTTTGTGGTGTTAAAAATCAAGTTTTTGTTCATTTAAATAGGTTTTAGCTGCAATGCAGAAACTCCATAAGCAAAGTTCCTTAGGCGAATTTGTTTTAGATCTTGTTGGGTTTACCTTTTATCAAGTAAAAATATGCAATGAATGGGAGCAAAACAAACATAGCTTTATAATATTGCACAGATAACAAGTCAGAAACTATCAAAGAAAGTATTCACAGAATGAACAAAGGTGTGGTTTAAAGCTAAAGGCTTTAGTCTTCTCACCGTTTGGGTTGGTTATAAGGATACGGTCCACGGTTAGGGGCGACGTAGGGTTCAACAATCAACGTTTTGTCTTCCTCTTCAGCTTCCATTTCCTCATCAGCCTTTCTCTTCTTTCCTTTGTCTGCTTCTTTAGAGATGGGAAACTTGATTCTGAATAGAAAGTTTTAAAAATCTCAATCTCTTGACATCAAAGCAGATTTGTGCATAAAGGATCACGTTACTAGACATTCACGGCGTGTGTGGCTTCATTTCACCGGGCCGACTCAACAGGACCACTTCCCAGGCCTCGTCAGGAACCGAACCAGTACCTGAACAAGGGTAGTCAGAAAGGCCTGGTAGAGATGGTGGGCGGGGCTTGTGATTAACTCATGTTGATTGGTTGTAACTTAGTAAGAAATTAAATCAGCACAACCACCACCATTTGTAAAATTAAAAGAGTTGGTGGTGAAGCAAATGGATAGAAAAGAAAACAAGAAGCATTCAGGCTCCTTTAAAGTTGCTGTTTCTAACCTCCTAATGCAGAAAAATTTGGGCGGAAATTCCTCTACAACGCTATGATTTTGGCCATTTTGCGGTCTATAGATCACTGCAAAATAACAGAGCTTCCTCTGGTCATTAAACGCCACTTTTTACATCACACAGCCACTCTCCTGGTCTCCCAGACGGATTAAATTACAGGGTACTTTGACAGAATACAATTTTTATGGTAATAACGTCCTTTGATGCTTTATGGTGCTGATCAGTGACATTCCTCACTGTCAAAACAGTCTCAAAATGCAGAGTCCTGAAAAAGGCCGATTTTGTATGGAGACACATTGACTGACAGAACCAAGCCATCTTATGTTCCCTGTCACCTCCCAGAATTTTCCCAGAACTCCTGTAGCGGAAACATGGCTATTTTTGTCCGTTACCTGAAAGGAGGAACTTGGAGCTCAGGGTTTTCCTCCGGGACCTTGATCGAACAATCCGGAAAGCATGATCGCAAGTGGTCCAGAGACAGAAATGTGTCATTGAAGTCCAAAGTGGAGATCTGATTGGGCATCTTGGAATAGTGGGCGCTGCCTGGGTCTCCATAGCCCAGGATGATGTCATGAAGCCAGTCTGGGACGACACATTCGGTGTTCATCAGGTGCCTGATGGTCTCCAGGACTGCCTAAAATTTATTGGAAGAGAAACATTCAACAAACGTCTCTCAGTAGGAATGCAAAAAATTACTGATACACCGAAATATCACAATACTTTGTGATATGATACTGAATCGATATTTGAAAGCAGGAAATAGATATTTTTTATTAAGAATTTACTTGTAAAGATTTACTGTATTTATTTTGTGTGGTGCATTTCCAACTCCGACTGCAGATTTTATTTCCTTTATTCTGACAGAACAATGTGATCTGGCGATAACACAGGATGTGTCTCGGAAGCATCTGGCCTGAGTCTTTCAACTAAATTCTGTCTTAAATACTGCAAATACTCACTATACTACTACTGGCTTTTAGTATCGCAATATGTTGCAAATGTCCCCTGTAAATATGTAGTGTCACTAGATTGTTCAGCCTGGCCTGCCAGACTCGTCCTCAGTTTAATTCTGTACAGAGAAAGAGTCTAGTCACTCACAGGCAGAGAGGCACTTGAGGGGCGGGACAAGGCAGCTCAAAATGAGCCAATCAGAAAAAAGACGGAAATGCCGACTGTACCGCACGACGCTGTAGTTTTTTTAGCTGTAGTCAAAAATGGCGTCTGGCAACGCCGCAAACATCTTTTATTTTATTAGAAGAAATGCTTTTAAGCGCGTCTACTTGTTTTAGTTTTAAAGACATTCAAGTCATTTAGAACAGAGGAAAAAGCCGCAGCGAACTCCGCCGCTGTTTTCGTTGTTTATGAGAAACTGAGCATCGCTGTGTGTGACGTCCGCGACGCTGTAGTTTTCTGGTTGTAAAAAATGGCGTCTGGTGACAGCGCAAACATCTTTCTTTAGAAGAAAGGCTTTTAGCGCTTCTACTTGTTGTTTTAAAGATGTGTCCAAGTCATTTAGAACAGAGGAACGAGCCGCAGCGAACTCCGCTTCAGTCGCCACTTTTGACAAACTCTGCATTGTGGTGTGTGACGTACGATACTCGGTGCTGATTGGCTCGGTTAGAATTGACACGGGGTGGGGTTATTTGAATACGAGAGTTCCCAGAGCCTTCCTCTGTGCAGAATTAAACAGAGGAAGAGTCTGGCAGGCCAGGCTATAGATTGTTGCCAATACACACCTTAATCTCAACGGTACATTTGAGTTAAACTAAAGTAGAAGGTAGATTAAAACCTGTGTGTGTGTACAGAAAACAAATAAAACTCAGTCAGACATTGTTACAACAGGGCCTTGTTCACTCATCGTGAAATGATGCTGGCAGGACCAACATGTAGTCCATACCTTGAAGTTATTCTCCTTGGGTTTACGCCTCATGATGATGTTGAAAGTCTCATAAGGATCTTCAGTGCCATTCTGGATACTGTTGGTCATGTCCTGCTGGTACTGGTTTGGGTCCAGCCAAACACGGAAGGTTCTGGTGTCTCCATATAGCTTTGGTTTTGGTTCAGGACCTGAAAATTATTTTGACCAACAACATAGCAAATTTTATTCAAAGTCATAAAGTTCTGATAAATGTATTTACAGTGGGATGTGAAAGTTTGGGCAGCCTAAATTGGGATGACGTTTTTACCAAGAGAAGTCTAAATAAAGGTACAAATAAAAACACTAAAAACTAAAACTAAATCTGGTTCTTCTTATATAAAACCCTTTGTGAGATTAAATAAAGGACGCCGTAACCATTCTTTCCATGAACGGTGTTTACACATTCATGCTCGACTGACTATGTGCACAACCCCAGGCATTAGGCTCGCTCCCAAAGGGACCCTACGAGGTGCATAGAGTGCAGCTTTCACAGATTTCTGAATAGATTGTGTGTGGGGCAAAGAGAGAGGAATTAAACTGATCTAGTCAGTCTCTGACGCCTGTTAACATGTGTGCAGTTGGGTTAAGAGGGAATAACGTGAACAAAGAGAGGAAACTACGTGGTGTGATAATTACTCGGGCTGAGGTGTGTGAGCAAATACAGCGACTAGATGTTGGTTTTAATGGTGAGCTTAAATTTCTATTACTCAAAGACAAAGAGTGTACACATTTATTAGACTTTATGCAAATACTTCATAATTAACCAAACCTTTCAGTAGCACCACTGGTGGAGATCTGAAAGTTTAACCAAGCCCGGTCTAGCAGGTCTAGTCTTCTGGCATAGTGTCTACTAAGATATTCATTCCCTCTTCGTATTTGATGAAAACAGATGAGACGGGATAAGAAAAGGGTGCTTTAGCACAGAAATAAATGTTCAGAAGGAAGATAAAAACTAGAGTTATAGGCTAACTTAGGTGAAGTCCTTTAGGCTGCCAGCGGGAGCACAAGAGTAAACAGAGATTGTGTTAGTGTATAAAATATTTTTGTTTCCATCCATCCATCCATTTTCTGAACCCGCTTGTCCACGCAGGGGGGGGCTGGTGCCTATGTCCAGCGGTCAACTGGCAATCAGGCGGGGTACACCCTGGACAGAGAGCCAGTCATCACAGGACACACAATCACACACTTACACACACACACACACACACACACACACACACACACACGCGCACATGCACACGCTCACGCGCACACACACACACTCTCCCACCTAAGGACAATTTAGACAGACCAATCAACCTAACAGTCATGTTTTTGGACTGTGGGAGGAAGCCGGAGTTCCCGGAGAGAACCCACGCATGCACAGGGAGAACATGCAGACTCCATGCAGAAAGATCCCAGGCTGGGAAGCGAACCCAGGACCTTCTTGCTGCAAGACAACAGCTCTAACCACTGCGCAGCATCTTTGTTTCCATGGAAACAAAATAAAAATTTGGCCAAATAAAACCATTTTCATTCAGCCTTGTTAAAATAGTGGATTAAAATAACAAATTCAGAATCACACACAACCATTCACACCTACTTAAATTAGCCTGTTAACCTGTTGTTGGTCCATCTATAAAATATCAAAACGAGGATATAAAATGCCTTTCATGATATAAATTATAATTATAATAATTATAATGCTTAGGGATTTGTTGATAAAGGTTAATAATAATCTTAATGTGAACAAGTCAGGTCTAATTTTAACCGAAATGGGAACACAATGATCTGATTTGCTGGCAGTTACGATTGCACAAAGGTCTGCTCGAAGGATGGATATTCTGTGTGTGTGTGTGTGTGTGTGTGTGTGTGTGTGTGTGTGTGTGTGTGTGTGTGTGTGTGTGTGTGTGTGTGTGTGTGTGTGTGTGTGTATCGTACAGACAGAGGTACGTCTGACTTCACCTTCCTCGATGACGCGGCCCTGGTCATCCAGCATGCCCTGCACCTCGCAGCCTCTCACGTACACCAGGCCAGTCTGGTCTACAAACGGCTGGCGCCGGTCGAAGCGCGTGCCGTACAGCAAAATGGGGCGGACCGTGATCAGGAAGCAAACATCATGTTTCCGTAGACCTAAAAGAGACAATGGCAGTAGAGTAAACGAAGAAAGTGAACAATTGAAAAGAGAGAATTTAAACGTCTAAATGAAAGTAGCACTTCCATTAAATTGATACAAAAACACTGATTTCATAAACTGACATTCAGATTTATCTTATTAAAGTGTCTCTGGGCTAAATATATATAGTTTGATACCAGGCAGGCTAAGTTTGGATTTTTTTTAATAGATTCATGTAAAAAAACCAGCAGATTCTGAGTTTTAAATTGATATAAATTACTTCTTCTACATATTGAGAAGAAGCATGCAAAAAGTCAGGATTAAAGGAATAAAATTAGCCATATTTAAACCGACAGGATAAACTTTTACCTTCCCACTCATGCTTGATGTGATCTTGAACATTGAGGTTTACGGTGACGTCGGCTCTTACGCGAGCTGGCCAGCTCTCTCCAATGTTGGGTTTGGCAACCTCCACGATGGAGAAAGTGGTGATTGTCTGAGCCATCCTCGCCCAGCCCCCAAACACCACTCCACCATACTCTGACTGCCTGTTCGTGCGCAGACACACAAGAAGTTCAGGTGACAAGACTGAAAATCAGCTGGACTTAAGGCAGCGGTGGCACATCAATAATGGACATCTCACCATGGTTTCATTCTCCAAACCACGTCCTCTATGTCCTGTCTGATCTCATAGGTGGACTCCAAACGAAAGAGGTTGAAGTTCCTCAGAAGGTAGTCATGGAGCGTCAGGAACTGGAGATTCAGCTTTGGAAGAGCTAAGCAGCCTGACAAGATAAACAAATACATGAATGAAAAATAGGTAAATAGACAAAACAAAGTAAAAAGAAATCAAGCTTAATGGATTTTGCCACAAAGGTTAAAGAAATATCAGATTTAAATGTGTTGCATGAAAATAAGTACTGCTACGGTATTTGAGACAAATAACACAACATGCAGCTGTTATGCTATATCAAAACCCAGATATTAGAGTGATACTGTTATCCCAATTCACATTTTCTAAACATACCTTCACCAGAGTAGTACTCTGTTGGGACGATGTTTTCATCCCAGATTATCTTCTCTGTTGGATAAAGGGGCATCAGGTTCAGCTGCTCAATCTGAGAGATCCTGCGCTCATGACGCGACACCTGTGTGTGTGTGACACAGATAACATGTAGACCAGGGTTAATAAAATATCTAGGCCATCATAGCCTTCTCTGTATTTTGTTTTTAATCTGCTAAACTAAATCTTTATTTAAAAAATATCAGCTCAGTAAATTTCATTCTATTTTACAAAAATAGATATTTAAGACGCAGCTGTACCAAATATTTTTTACTTTATTTATTTGAATATGTAATTTGCATTAACAACTGGAACACTGAAACATTCAGCTGCTGCGTCTAGAATAACCTCACTCATAAAACTGACCTAAGATCAGCTTTTGTCTTAAGTATAGTTTAAAGAAAGAAAGAAGGAATGAATTAGAGGTCGACCGATATTATTTTTTCTACTGACGATAACAAAGTAGACATGTAGGAGACAAGGTCAGCCAATGGCCAATATCTAGTAGTTTTCCACCTTTTTTCAGGCTAAAATGTAACTAATAACATCTGACGATGCACAAAATTCCTGAAGCTGAATCAGTTTTTGAAATCTGAATGTAACTAACTGTTAAATCTTAACTTTGTGCACTGCTCAGTGTTAAAATCAGACACCTAAATAAAGGTTATTTAGAGATTTTAATATGCAGATGTTATTAGTGAACATAAAAATACATTTGAATTAAATTCTGCACCAGTCTGCCCGACGATGCGCCTGACTTTAAAAATGCTTTATTAAGGACAAATATCGCATGTATAAAAAATTGTAAATATTGGCCCGATGTATTGGCTGACTGATGACTCTGCACTGTCTAGCCCTAGAATGAATGAATGAATACTTTATTTAGGTGTCAGGCACAATAGGTGCACTCACACTATTTAATAAAAAGAAGCTTTTCCACAAACTTGGCCATTAGATAATAAGGGTAAACAAAAAACTTTAGTTACAATCTCTGAAGCAATTACTGAAATACAAATAATAATAATAATAATAATAATAATTCTAAAGCAGGGCAAGACAGGGTGCTATCAAATACATAAGTCACAAGGACATCATAATAATTTACTTAAAAAGACTTAAGTGTTAAATGTTACCCAAAAATTCAAAAATGCTACATTAATAAAACCGACTTTGAAGACTATGTTGTTTATAAATCCGAGGGAACAAATTCTATAATTTTAGATCAAAAGAATACCATACCAACTTAATTTATAAAGCACTTTTAAAAATGGCATGGCAGCCGACCAAAGTGCTGCACAACTAAAAAGTAAAACACAACATAAAACAAAAACACAATCAATAATAAAAGTACACAACAAAGCGGTACAATCACAATCAATAAAAGAATACATAATCAAAATAAATTAAAGTCATGGGTTTAAAAATCACATGAACAGGACAACAAAAGCACAAACCAGCATCTCAAGGAGAAACTTTGTCTCATAGGTGGTGTCCTGCCCTTCAAGCAGCTCTGGCAGCAGACACAGGTAGGAGGCCACCTGGTGGAGCATGTTAGGACTGCAGATAAAAAAGCAGAAATGGACAAATGGTTAGTCAGCAAAACAAAAAATAAAAGCATTTTCAAATTCTAAATTTAGCTGACACTTCTCCAGACAATAATAATCAGATAATAACTAACTGGAATACAGAGATAATCATTTTGGTGATGAATGAAATCATCAGATTAGCAGCAGCAACAGGGACAATCTGGTGTCTCCAGGTTCAAATATCATATCTGCACAGCGAAATCTGCAGGTCTAGTGTTTTTGGTAACACTGTAAAAGGGAAAACTCTGAGCAGTATCTAATTTTTCATGCTCATTAGCACTGCGGCACAAGGCGATAGCTCTGTTTGGTTTCACACTGCACTCTCGCTCTGTCAGCATGTGGGTTGAGGGCCGAGGGCGCGCTGAGAGACAGGATTATGAAAATCAAAGCCCATCTCCATCTCAGAAAGCTGAGGCGTGTCTCTTTGCATGCAGACCTGTTTTAATCATGCTGGCGTGCTGTGACACAGGCGAGGTCTGATGCACAACGAAGGACAGGAACTGAACACGTTGTGACAGGCCTGGACGGCCACACGTGGCACTGGAAAGCCCAGGCTGTGCATGTGCATCCATCCTGCTACACCTGCAATTGTGCCAAGGATGCACTTTGGTAGTCCGGTGGATGACCTGGCATGAGTCAGGTGGATATTCCTTTGCTTAGCAAACAATAGCAGCAATGTTGGCAGGTAGGTCAGAAACCCTTCTACTGTAAGTTTACTCTGCTCCATTTAGATTTGTTCTGCTAAACTTTACCAAAATTATTTTAGGTTTAATTGACAAAAAAAAAAAAGTGTTTTATTCTGAAAACTGGACACTGTGAAACACATAAGTAACAAAACAGATGCAGTTTTTATGGAAAACAGGATTGCTGTTCTAGAATAAAAATTTAGATTAAAGTTTTCTAATGCAGAAATTAGACAAACAAGCCTGATCATTTCTAATTTGTGCAAATTTGCTTCTAAGAAAAACAAGTTCACTCAAGAAAAGCAAGTTCACTGAGAAATAATTTTTACTTCTTTTTCTGAAATATGATCAGTCATTCTGTTAGTCTGACCTCACCTACCTTTGTTCGCGATGGGGAAGATTCTTGATTTAGCATCCAGGAGAGACCAGAGCATGTCTGGGCTAGTAGAAGCTAAACGTTAGCGTTAGCAACTCCACCACATGACAAAACTCCTCCAACCTTGTGTTATTTGTGGAGGTAAAACATAAATGTTGCAAAGCAAACTGAGTCGGTGGTAAAGTTAAGTTGCAGTTGGCCAACCAGAAAAATGTCCTAATATCGGGGAATAATATTGAGTAAGACTCCAAATCCTGCTGTTTTCTACTCCCCTCTGCGATGGCCAACTTCTACTATCTGAAAAAAGAAGCGCGGAAGCTTTTTTCCTTCTGAGATCAACTCACAAGGAATTCATTTGAACTAAAGACCATTGCAAATGTATTGAAAAGAAAGCGAAGTTGGTCTTTAAATTGTTAAACCAAATTTTTTTAAAGTAAACAGGTAAAGCATTGTATGCATGTTTTAAAAAATTTCAATTACAAGACTTGACTGATGCCTTTTTTCAGTATTTCCCTTCTCTTTTGAGATTTTTCAACTTCTTTTTCACCTGAAATAAACTCCCCATGTTTTAACAACTGAAAGCAGTGCCTCTGTGTGTGTGTGTGTGTGTGTGTGTGTGTGTGTGTGTGTGTGTGTGCTATGCAACAATCTAAGTGTGCATTCGCGGGACTTAGCGGATAAATTCAGAGAGGCGGTTGACTGGGAGCTTAGCCGATGAGTAGCACAGCTGGAATAAACTGGCATTAGCATGAGTTGTTTGGATGAAAAACGCCTTGTTCAATCTAATTGGCATACTCGGAGTTACCCCCAGAGCTGCTCTGGTGACAAGTCGGGAAGCTGTGAACAATGCAGTTCCTGCTTCATCCAAAAGCCTAAATCTGAGTAAAAGAGCGGAGCTTCTGGAAAATACAAAAACGATTCCGTCAAGCCATTACCTGATGCAGCTCAGCGTGTCTCGTAACATTCTGCCTCACTCAAAGAAACTGTAAATGTTTGCAATCAAAAACTGCTGTAAAATGTTAAAAGGTAAAAATAAAAAAATCACACACACAACAAGACACAGTGCAAAAGACTTGTAAGTTGTGTCTCATAGTCTATGATCTCATGCCATTGGTCTGCTAAGATAACAAACTAAAGAAAAGTCTAGACCCTGAAGCGTTTACAAATTAGCATTATATTCATGACTTGTAGGTTTTGATCATATATGCGTTCACACGCATGCATGCACGTAGGCATGCGCGCACACACACACACACACACGTTTGTTCATCAAAGTGAGGGTGGCTTTTGGCTCTTTGGCAGGCTAATATGATCTGACAAACACAGCTGTTCAAAGAGTTTATTCTCAAGCCACTGCAAATCGATTAGATTAATGAGGCGTGCCTGCCTCTCTCTGGCTGGTACCAGCTGCCCGTTCAAGGGTTCACTAGCTGCCTTTTAGCAAGGAAGTCAGGCAGTAATGGCAGTTCTGCTATATTGTGACAAAGTGGCAAGTTAACAATCCATATACGGCTGTTTGTCGGCTCAGACGTGTGTTTTATGGTGACTAGGACCAATTTGCTGAAGGTAAACAAAGACGACGCTATTTAGTTTACCATGCAGAACATATTAAAATGGTTTGTATTTACTGAAACATTTCATTTACCTGAGATTGCCAAATTGTTTGGTTAAGGACTCTCGAGTGTCCACTGCAGCTACGTTGGCCATAGCAAAGTCGTGTAACTCTGGGAAATGAGCAAAGGCGGCTCTCTGAGGAAGAAAAGAGGGTGATGAAAATGAATACACATAAAACGTTTTAACAAATACCAGATGGCAGGGAGAAGCGACTCCATAAAATACCAGAATTAGTTAAAAATGCCTTTTTCCCCCCTAACAAGTTAGAAAATCTCATAAGAGAGGAATTTGGTGCTGTAGTTGGTGTCGTACATTCATGCTGATGTTGTCTATGTTCTGTAGAAGCACGCCCATATTTGAGAATATTTGATCATGTGAAAGAAACCAGAGCTACTAAGTATTAAGTTTAAATATTTTCCTAGGAAATCTTCATCAAAATCTTCTAATATTTGCGTAATCTTCACCTGTAGTGATGTGATTCTGTCATAGTGCAAGGTGGTCATCTCCTTCTGTGTCAGGGCATTTCCTGTTTGGTCATTGATCTCAAAGCCAGTGTAGAACTTCAACATGTCGAGAAGCTATTTTAAAAAAAAAGACAACAAACACAATAAATAAACATAAAAACCATCTCTGGGATGTGCGGATGCTGTCACTGAACATGCATACTTTCATATGTTATCTACCTGACAGAAGAGGTGTCCCTCCGTCTCTCTGTCGATGAGGCCAGACAGCTGACAGAAGACCATCAAATGGGAGTCGTCCAGCATCGTGTTAAACCAGCGTCTGGTGGGAAGCAGAGCCTGAACACAGAGAATTTTAAACCTGTGAACATGCTGCAAGACAAACTGAAGATGCATAATGTCAAGTTCCAAATTTGTGAAGAGAATACAGAAGATAGAATATTTTAGAGGGTATTATTGACCCTTTGCAACGCTGTTCGTGGGAACGCCTCTTTTGTCAAGACGAACATCAAATTAACTATTTACATGTATTAAACTTCTGTAAAGCTAGCCCAAAACAAGCCACTTTGTAGCCATATATTGCTTTTATATTGCTTATTTCATTGTAAAAGGATAACAGTTACCTGCATGGTGGGCTGCACTAACAGACAATAGTGTAAACCCAACTTGTTTTTTATTGTATAACTTTTGATAGAAACAGAAGATGGTGGACAGAAGCTGCCAATCAAAACAACTGGAAGCCCTTTAAGTATTCACAGATTAGCAGCAAATAAATTTTTACCAGGTAAGATTAGTGTAAATTTATTTCTTGAGCAAGTCTGAGACTGATTGGGTTGTACCTAAAATTACAAGTGTGATGTATTTTTATAATTTCTTTGATATTGATAATCTTATATTTCACTATGGTGGACATATGTTTCTGTCCATTATAGTAAATTGTTAGACATTAATAAATATTGTTCCGATGTAGGACTATATGTGGAAAAGTTATGTTATTTATTTAGCATGATGAGCTTCGCCATTAAGAGATATCCATGTTCCTCTGATGTGGGAGAAGCACCTGGTCTCAGTGATCGATCAATGTCAAAAAACTGGTAGTGATCTGGACTTTTGTAGGCTTTTAAATCAGCTCTAGTGTAAAGTAAAACACTGTTATCACATAATGGTGTGGTCTGGGGTGAATTCTGGGAAAGTCTGGAACCCGATGGTTTCTAAACTAGCTAGCTAACCAGACAAGCTGGTTCCCAAAGTCAGAGACTCTCTTGGTCAGCTTACTTCTCACACCAAAACCTCTGTCAGGAATCTTGGTGTGACCTTCGACCCAGCTCTCATGTCTCATGTCAATGCTGGATTCTCATGCCAGTTCTCTTGTTCGCTCTTCCTTCTTCCATCTCAGGACCATTGCTAAACTGTGTCCCATTCTGTCCTGCTCTGAACTTGAGATCATTATAAGAGATATGATCAGACTTTATTGATCCCACAGCAGGGAAGTATTTGCGTTACAACAGCTGTGAAACACTGTGGAAGTGATAATATATAAAAAGTATCAGCTTTTCTGCTACAACTACTTGTTACTGTCCAAGTGATGAATATCTTTAAATACAGGCATGGACATGTAAGCACACGCATCAAATGTACATAAATCAGGTGTATTATGCACGGAGTGGTGACCGTAGGGTAGGGGCTGCATGACTTAATTTTTTTTAAAGTCGACTGTCAAGTAATGAAAATCGAGTCGACTTTGACAAGTCGCTGATGACGTCATACACCTGAAGCGGCGGGGTGTGGGGGGTGTCGGTTGGTTCGCTGGAGTTTTTTTTTTTGACAATTAAAATTGCGCCCACATTTTCAAAGTTAAACACATTTCTTTGAACAACGTTAGTTTCTGCTTCAGCCATCTCCCCCCTCCCCCTGCGCAGCGGCCGCAAACTCACTGATGCGCCTGCAGCCTCTCAGAGTTTCTGCTAGCCTAGTGAACTAGACCAAATTCTTGCTTTGCAAAGAATGGTCTAGGCATGCTCCATTGGAACCTCAGCAGCTCCTTCCAGGACTCTGGCTAGCCAATCACAGCTCTCTAGAGGGGTTTCAAACACATAAAGAGCTGTGATTGGTCCATAATGGTGGGCCAATCATAGTGCTCTATCTGCTTAGTGAACAAATCACAGAGCTTTATTGGCTTTGTGAGCCAATCAGGGCACTCTATATGCCTGGTGGGTGGGATGATGCAACAGAGTGAAACAAGAGTATGTCACATTCATTGTCCAGTGGAATGCGGAGATCATTTGAAAGACAACGGTAGAACCCGCCCCACAACCGAGAGCCGTCAATGGAACGTGGCCAGACTAAATAATACATTTATTTAGTCTGGCTTGCCAGGCTAAGTTTCTGCTGCTCTAAACATTAAAATAATTATTTTATTTTCTGTTCCTCACTTCTGATTACCTTCAGTGGTGTCTGTTTGTTGCAACCACCAGGTACAAAAACTAACTTGTTTTTATTTGACTATTTTTCGGTCCTGTCTGTTTATTATCTTCCTGCATCTCCTCTCAATCCTAAAGAGAAACTGCTACCTGGGTTCATATATATTCACCTTATGAGTTACCTTTGAACTGCAGTTCTAAAAGATCTACCGACCGCAAAAACAGCGAAGTGCTCGCTGCTTGGTGGCCGCATCAGTGATCGGTGCGTCACCGGATGACAAGGTGACGCGCCCCGCTCCATAGCAGCGAAACGCATCAGGCACAAATAAAAGACAGAAAACATACAAGGAAATGAGCCGACATGAACAATCGCGTGTTAAATTAGTTTTTGAGGTGGCGACACCTGATTTGATAACGTTACTGTGGCCGTGCTCAGGACGCAGATGTCTGGAGCGCGTCAACAATCAATGTCTGTTTTACGGCGGGTGTCAGCTCCTGCGCGTCGCCCCCCCGACGCGCAGGAGCTCGTCACCTGCTGTCTTTTGCGAGGACTGCATCTTGCCGGTCATTATCACGTGACTGCGACTAGTCGATGACAAGCATAAAAAGTCACTGCAGAGCAGTGAGGTCGACTAGTTCATACAACCCCTACCGTAGGGTTTAAGTGGGTGGGTGACTCATGACATCATAATGTGTTATAAAGTCTAACTGCTGACAGAATGGATGATCTACAGAAGCGCTCATTCCTGCAGCGGGGGTGTATCAGTCTCTGACTGAAGGAGCTGGTCAGTGCGCCCACCGACTCATGCAGAGGGTGATGTGGGTTGTTCATGATGGACGTCGCCCATCACCACCAAAGCTTCCACACGGCATCCAAGTACAGAGTTAGACCCCTCAACCAATTTGTCTTTCCTGCTCCTAGCCCTGTCTGTACATCTGCTCCCCCATCAGGCCACTGCACAGAAAAGGGCAGATGCTACCACCAAATCATAAAAAAGTCCTTAACAGAGCCCTGCATACTCGGAAAGACCTCGGTCTCCTCAGCGGGTGCAGTTGACTTTGGCCCTTCTTATACAAGTTGGCGGTGTACAAGCTGAACAGGATGGGTGAGAGAACTGTGCCCTGCGGCGCCCCATGCTGCAGATTACCATGTCCGACACACAGTCATGGAGTCTCACATACTGTGGTCTGTTGGTTAGATAATCGATGATCCATGTGGTCAGCTGTTTGCACTCTCCAGCTTCCCTCTCAGTAATGCAAGCGGAATGGTGTTGAAAGCACTGGAGAAGTAAAAAAAAACAAGACCTTCAAAGTACTCCCTGCCTGCTCCAGGTGAGAGAAGGACTGATGCATCAGGTAGATAACAGCATCCTCCAACACAATTCCAGGCTGATAAGCTAACTGCAGGAAGTCAAGCGCTGAGCTCACTAGTGAGTGAAGGTTGTGTAGGATGAGCCTTTTGAGGGTCTTCATCACGTGAGAAGTCAGGGCCACAGGTCTAAAGTGGTTGGGCTTTTTGGGGTGCGTGACTTTTGGCACAGGAACCACGCAGGAAGTCTTCCACAGTTCAGGAATCATCTCCAGACTCAAGCTCAGGTTGAAGATGTGCAGGACCACCTGACAGAGCTGGTCTGCACAGTCCCTGAGCACTCTGGAGCAGATTCCAACTGGACCTGCTGCCCTCCTTGCTTTTGTCCTCTTTAGCTGGCTTCTCACCTGTTCAACTGTGAGGTAGATGTAAGGCTGGGCCAGGAAGGGGGTTGTAGCTGGCTCTGATTTGGGTTGATGAGTAAATGGAGGTGAAACTGAGTGGTGGAGTGAGGAGAATCCAGGTAAAAATGGTCTTGCACCAGGAGTGGGGGCAGCATAAGAAGGGAGTTGATGGAAGTCGGTGATTGGGTTGGTGGTTGATGGCCCAGAATCAAATTTGTTGAATAAAAGATGCAGCAAGCCAACCAATATTCACACCTTCACCTCCTCACGTTTACACCACTGCAACTCGCTTTTCACGTGTCTGAGCAAAACCTCCCTGAACCGTCTACAGGTGGTTCAGAATGCCTGTCCTCAGCTTCTGAGCAAATTGCCAAAGTACACTCACATCACTTCTCCTCCAGCTTCACCGGCTGCCAGTCAACTTCAGGGTTCATTTCAAGATTCTGGTTCTGGTCTATAGGGCCTTACATGGACAAGCACCATCTTACATTGGTGAACTTCTTAGTCCCTACACCCCCAGCAGGTCCCTGAGGTCCAGTGAGCAAAGCCTACTGGTTGTGCAGCACCAGGCTAAAGACCAAAGGTGACAAATCATTTGCTGCTGTGGCCCCCAGACTCTGGACCTCTCTCCTCCTGAGCCTGAGATCAGTGGACTCAGTGGTCTCCTTTAACTCATCCACTGCCAATGATGACTAAAGTCGTCATTTGCATTTTTTTTTACTGTGTGGGCATGAGAACGAGCCCCCGCACCGTGAGAACAAACATCTCAGCTCTAAAGCCGATCTTCATCCGCATACGTCACACGTCACGCGATCAGGAAGCAGAACATCCATGTGTTAGGAGATCGTTTTGGTCCGCTGCTGTAAAAAAAGTGAGGCGTGAACCGGAAAAGCTTCTGCCGATCACAATTCAACAACGGATTATGAACGAACGGATAACGCTCGAAACGCGCGGATTCTTCCTGATGTATGAGGTGAGTCTACACTTTGTTTTGGTTGTTTTGGCGTCGACATCATCCTAGCGCTCAACGTTCTGTTAGACTCTTAAAGAAACAGTAAAAACAGTGATAAACGCTGGCAGCGAAGGGCTTTACCGATCAGGAAACGGCTCGCAGCGAATGAGTTAAAAAGCAGCTAAAACTCTTCTGTTCAGGCTGGCTTCACCACTACCCTCTCCTTATTCTGCTCTTTCTACCAATTCTGCTTT